CAGATCTAGAAAGAATCGTCGGAGTTCATATCGAGGGTTTTGTGTTTGTTGGACGGCTCAGATGAAGCGAAGGTGGAGGTGGTGGTGCTCTGACGAAATTGTGGCAGCGGCTTCCATCTTTTCCCTCCTTCAAATCCGCCGAAAGGCTGGTGGTTGTATTTTATTTTTTTGAAAATCATAATAGGGATGAGTTTTTTGAAAGAGAGAGAGAGAGAGAGAGAGAGAGAGAGAGAGAGAGAGGTTTTTTAATTTTGTTTTATTTTTAATTTCTATAATAAAAGAAAATTGTAAAATAAAATAATAAAGGGCAAACCCGTCATTATAAAATGTTTCAAAATTTTTGGACCAAACTCGCAACAAAATAAAAAGTTTGGATCTCTGGTACCGGTCCAAACCTTTTATGGACCAAAGTGGCAATTTTCAGCTAACCACAGGGACCATTTGTGCAGTTTAGTCTTTTTATAGTAACAATCGCATTTACATGTAAGAATTACATTTACGACGCTACATACACCAACACTCATTTATGACTCCTTACTCCAATACAAGAGATTTGTTAGTCGATTTTCAATGAGGTGCGTTAACTTAGAAAGAAATATTCAATCATGCTCACATAAATCTCATATATGTTATTGAATGTGCTTATGATATTTTGAAGACATTTTGAAGACAAGATTTTCAATCCTAAAATTGCAAATAGCTCATTGTCCTTTTCCAGTGTATTTGGTCATTTTGTATGTGTATTTGAAATTAAAAATTTGGATGTTTCATGATATTGGCATATTGCATGTGTATTTGACTATTTGGTCTTTTGTGCTTGACAATATTCGTTTCTTAGTAAATAAATTTGATGATTTTCTTAGAATATTTATTGTTTGTTAGGACATTTTATTTGTAGGAACTTTAACACTTAGTTCAATATTGTTGTAGATAAATTTTTATTAAATTTTGTCCAAGTCTAATAGAAGTATAAAACAACTTATAGTACTGATTTACGTAATACAAACTATTTATTAGTCTCAAAACAGCTTAATATATATAATGCTCTTAGAAATCTTTTTGGTTTGTTAAGAAAGTTAGTTTTTTTAGGGAATTTAATAACTTACAAACTAGTGTATAATAAAATTTATTTTATAAACTGTTATAATTTATAAATATATAACGATCATATAAGTTATGGAGAAGAGTTTTTCTGTTTTAATAAAAAATATCGGGCTAGTCCCAACAGACGACACTTTTCTAAGCCCATTACGAACGAAAGCTGTTTTCAAGTGGGGTCTACTTTCTATCTACGGCATCTATGGATTGCCACATGTCAAAATCTGAGCCAATCATCATAAAATATCAGTTCTTGCAAGTGATTTACTTCAACGTCCAAAACGCCAATAAAAACCGATTCAAAAATCTCTCCATCACAAAATCGCTGCAACGTCAATGGCTTGCAGCTCGATCGCCATGGACGGAAGAGCACTTCCGATATCTCTATACTCTTCTCCAAAACGCCAGCGTCCGCCGGACACATCGGTTTCCAGGAACTCCGGTTCGAATTTGAACTTCAAACTTCACTTCAGAGTTAGGGTTCAGTTCCTCTCTGGTTCGAGTGTTCATGTTCTTCTGAATGGTTCACGTGGGAGGAATCAGTTCTGGAAGGTCAGGTCGGATGTAAAATCGGAACCGTATGAAATTTCGAAGTCAGCGCCTGAATCGTTTAAGTTCAAAGAGAAATTGGGCGTTGACGTTGTATCGAAGGATGATGATGGAGATGAATTTGTTGTCAATGCAGTTCCGTGGTGGGAAGAGTTCCCGAAACGTTGGACTATTGTCATTCTATGTTTTTCTGCTTTTCTTCTTTGCAACATGGATAGAGTAAGCTCATCTCACTACTATTTTGCTAAGTTTTATGGAATCTATACGAGTACTTAAACAAACGTGACTTGATTGATCACGATATCTCTTCAATTGAACTCTGTTGACACCTGAAAGAACCTTGTTTTGACAACGTCGGTTTTTTTATATATGTCTAAAATTCGCAGGCGAGGCTGTTTTCAGTAGAGAATTATAGGAATTGATTGATTAAATACATTTGGAACTCGACTTGTTGTATCTATTGGAGAAATTCAGGAATCAAATGTAAAACGATAGTGATGGAACTGTAACCCCAATTTTCAACTGATGATAAAGCTTTCTAGTTGCCATGTTTGAAGAATCAGAATGTATGATAATGGTATCTGAGTTAGATTTTTCTACATGGCAGGTGAATATGAGCATTGCTATACTACCAATGTCATCAGAGTACCATTGGAATTCTACAACTGTTGGTTTGATACAATCATCCTTTTTCTGGGGCTACCTTCTCACTCAGGTTTTCCCAATTTCTTCATCTAGTTCAGTTCTTGTTCTTCACATCATTGTTGGTGCTAGATTAATCAGAAGAACAAATTCATATGTGATTCAGTTTTGAATTAATGGTAATTAAGCTTAGAATTAGATTGCAGGAGGCATTTGGGCAGACACTGTAGGTGGGAAACGTGTATTGGCTTTTGGTGTCATCTGGTGGTCTGTAGCTACAGTTCTTACTCCAGTTGCTGCAAAGTTAGGATTACCTTTCTTACTCATAGTCCGTGCTTTCATGGGCATAGGCGAGGTTCTTTTTCTTCTTCCCAATCTTTACCATTGATCTGTTTATTCTATAAAGAAAAACTTGATAGTTTGTTTATATAAACTTTCTCCCTCTCTTCTTCCAGGGTGTGGCTATGCCTGCCATGAATAATCTTCTATCAAAATGGGTTCCTGTTGCAGAAAGAAGCAGATCATTGGCTCTTGTTTACAGTGGAATGTACCTTGGATCTGTCACAGGACTTGCCTTTTCACCATTTTTAATACATTCATATGGATGGCCTTCTGTCTTTTTCTCTTTTGGTTCTCTAGGCACAGTGTGGACTGCATTATGGTTAAACAAGGTATCTTTTCATAATTTCATCCCATTTCTGATATTTCTTTTTCTATTTTTTTTTTTTTTTACAAATCTTGTAAAATTTTATTAGGCATACAGTTCACCTCTTGAAGACCCTGAACTTCGCCCTGAAGAGAAGAAACTTATCTTTCGCAATCGAGTTATTGAGGAACCTGTTAAGACCATTCCTTGGAGGGTAATCTTGTCAAAACCACCTGTATGGGCTTTAATCACTTGTCATTTTTGTCACAACTGGGGGACATTTATACTCCTCACATGGATGCCTACCTATTATAACCAGGTTAATTAGTCTTTTAATTCATATGTTTTAACTTTAATCAAAGAAATATTGACTTAAATGTCTTTTTTTACAGGTTCTAGGGTTTAATCTAACAGAATCAGGGCTATTTTGTGTATTGCCATGGCTTACAATGGCTTTCTCAGCCAATCTTGGAGGCTGGATAGCTGATACACTTGTGAGCAAAGGGATGTCTGTGACCACAGTTCGAAAGGTAATATTCAAGATTTAATATTTTATTTGATTATTTATTTTTATTTCTTATATTAAAAAATCAGGTAATGCAATCAATTGGATTTCTTGGGCCTGCATTTTTCTTATCTCAATTAAGCCATGTTAACTCTCCTGCAATGGCTGTCTTATGCATGGCATGTAGTCAGGTTTGTGTTTTAATTAATTATTTGAAATAAATAAATATTTTTCTTGAAAATATTGTAACAACTTAATAATATCTTCACTTATGAAACAGGGGTCTGATGCATTTTCACAGTCGGGTTTATATTCTAATCATCAAGATATTGCTCCTCGATATTCTGTAAGCATCTCCTTTCTTAAATGTTGTTAAATGTTTATAAATCCATTAAAACAATGATTAAAATTTTGTTAATTTATTTTATGGTTTTCAGGGGGTGTTGCTTGGCTTATCAAATACTGCTGGAGTTTTGGCTGGTGTCTTTGGCACTGCAGCAACCGGTTACATCTTGCAACATGGTAATTTTTTTGTCTTTATTATAACAACGTGAAAGTACAAGTTTTTTTTAAAAAGTACAAGAGAAACTTTACACTTTGTGACACGTGTAAGCAGGTTCTTGGGATGATGTGTTTGAGGTGGCAATTGGGCTATATTTGGTTGGAACAGTTATATGGAATCTTTTTTCAACTGGTGAAAAAATAATCGACTAAAAGTTGCATATATAATTATATATATAGTCTGATTTATCACCCGTGATGATTGATGATGATGGGAATTAAAATCCACAAATTGGTGCAACGATTTCTTGAGGCTCCATAGAAACATATTATGTTTCGGAAGCTCCAAATCAAATATGACTTTTTGGCACACAGAACTGGTTTTGTGAGAAAGAATAACACGAAGATTATGACGACTTGTAAAAAAGCCATTTCACTGGTGAATATAGGAAGATTAGACACACGTTTTGATAGAATCTGTATATTTTGTTTTTATACCAACATATGGGACAAACAAATATTTGGGCATTTATGAAATGTAATACCCTTTTTTATGTAGTCCAATTATTTTCCTAATGCACACCCCCTACCCCCTAGGGTCACACTCACCGACTCACTTAACCCATTGATAATAATATAATACTTTGAATGTTATCTACTATTTCGATTTGATTCCCATATTGAACCTTGGCTAATCCATCGTAGCCTACAATAAATAATAAATAATAATGTATGATGATGTGTCACGTGGGTTGGTTTTGTTATATAATAATAGTAATAGTAATAATAATAATATTAATTATAATAATAATGGTCACAGATTATATAGCCGGTGCATAGACAGCTAAATATGTCTTGACCCTACTTTGTACGGACCACCAAAATCACTCTTTGTTTCATTCAATTCCACAACTATATTTTATCCATAACCATTACAACATCCAACTACTAACCCCACAACAAAACATAATCAAACACAAACACAAACAAAAACAAAAACATCAGGTTAAAAATTCAAATTGAAGACCGAATCATATAATATTAATAATGAACAACAACTCAACAAGAAACAGAATTAGACATGGTTGATGAAGTAGAAGAAGAAGAAGAGTTGATGAAGTCAATGCAATCCTTAATGGCTTCTGCTCTTTCAGAATCCACTGGAGACAGTGAAAGTCGTTTTGGAGTTCCCGATGATGATATCTTAGTGGAACCTCGTTTTCGAGGAGCAACAAAACAAAGAACAGCCACCATCCAATTACCCACGTTTTTAAGGTATCTCACAGGCAATAAAAATCTACAACTCGCTGAAATCTTTGTTGTTCTTCTACCATCAACCCTTTTACTTGAGTTACATTTGCTCAACATGGTTAGCTCTCCTGTTAACTGTGTGTGTTTACACTCTTGGTGTGTGTGTGTGTGTTTGAGAGAGAGAGAGAGAGAGAGAGTTCAGTAGATACATGCAATGCCAATGTGTTTGTATATATAGTGGTAGGAGGAGAACTAAATCACTAATGCATTAAAGAAGTGGACCTACCAGTAGGACATAGAAATTAAGGTTTACAGAGAACCACCTAAAATTTTCTTCTTATGTACATTGCAAAAGTGCATATAGTGGCCAGATAAAGTGCCTTTTAAAATTTTGGAAGAAAACTACTCTCTTGAAACCACTAATTAAGTAAAATACCTAAATTACCCCTCCACTAACAAGATGCTCATAAATTCCTGAGTTTCCCATATTACCCGTATTTAAATTATGTGGCAGAAGTCGATGCATAGCAGTATAATGTTCTATCAAGAAAAAAATTTGAAAATTCAATGTTGTAATTTGGTAGTTTTTCAAAATACAATGCCTTAAGAAAAAAAGAAGACTGAAAACACAATGTTGCAATAGAAAAATGACTAAAAAAAAACCATTATATTTTGGACAGTTTTGTGGTTACCCTTTTTTCGAATCGAACCATAAAAGTTTTAAGGCATTTTTCCATATTAACCATTTTGACGTGCTATATCAAGTTTCAACTGTAATTTTGTTATATTGGGTTTCACCGGTAATTCTCAAAATTAACCATTTTGACATGTTAGATTCCCTCAAAATGGTTAATTTGGAAAATTGTCAAATACTTTTAAGAATGCAAAGAACCATCTAAAATTTTCTTACTTCCATTTCATCTTATTACATTACTATACTTTGGCAAATCTACAAAATTATAGCAATATCATCCAAATACAACACGCTTTTCATTGCTACAATTGGATAAAACTTTTAAATTACAATGTTCTAATAAAAATAAAAAATAAAAAGTAACAAGCAAAATGTTGTAATGGGCCTAAAATGATCCAAAATCTATTGTAGCTAACTACTAGTCATCATCCTTAACAAGAAGTAGCTCAGTACCACCATCAATGGCAGCATCCAAGAAATCCCTTAATTCTTCAGTGCTTCCAAATGAACAAGGAGATGTAAAGTCACTATCTAAGTTATACCAAATCCCATTAATCCTTCTCAAAGAAACCCAATGTCTACTTCTCCAAAGACCACCATACTTTCTTACAGGCACATTTAGCACAATCCCCATTAATTTACCTTCAGGTTCATCAAGATTAATGGAAGAAGCTCTATTACGCCTATCATGCCAAACAACTTTCTTCCCTTTTCTTTCAACAGCAGTAATTAACACGTTTATGTCATAATTACCTGTTAGTGAATTATGATGAGGCTTGAAGATAACTGAAAAAGGCATCCGGTTTCCTTCATATGGATCTTCTTGAACAAGTTTTTCAGCTATATCATCCAAATCTTTTCTTGTAAACGCATCCTTCTCCTGAATCTCATCAAAAAGGAAGAATTGGTTAATCAATTTGCCCAGAATCCCAAGAGATGGAACAAGTACAAAACGAAACACTGTAATTGATCAAAATTACTCTTTCCACACTGGTTTTGTTTGAGAAAGTCGCTAATGATTTCTTATCTAATATTCATGATACATTTGAAATCATAAAATTACGAGAAATCGATGCCTGATTTTGGAACGTATGGGGTAATTAATCAGTAAAATCAACTAAATTTTCAAAAACTCGTTATTCCAAACAGTATGACCTGATTTGATTCTACTCTTCTGTAAACAAATCAAAAGTAAGCCCAATTGACGACATATCAACCACAGAAAATTTATCAATTCTATAGAAATTGAATATAAATCAGATAGGAAAAAAAAAAAAAAAAAACCTGGAATAGATTGTTGAGAGAGTGTAAGAGGCAAAATTGTAACTTCTGTTTTTCATGATATATCTGCTTCTGTTCGTCTCCCATAAATTCTGCTTCAACTGGTTCGAAATTTAGGGTTTTACAACTAGTGTTTCGAACTTTCGATCGAAAGAACGACGAGACCGTGAAAATTAGACCGATAACCGATTAATTGCACACGGATGTCTAAAGATTACATTAATCCTCAAAATTCTGATGAGTAAGTTATAAAACTAGTCCCTTGACTATATGTCATTGAATAAACTAAGTCATGTAGTATTTTTTTTAGTTTTGCATTCTTCATCCAACAAACCCATTTTAATCATCGTATTTGGTCCAACTTAAGAGATCCTAAAATAAAACCATCAAAAAGGATATATACATTGTACATGACATTTAATTGAGGTCAAAACCCAAAACTAGTGATTAAGTTAATGAAAAACTACACCGAAAACAAAAGTTGTAACAACCTACTAATTCTTTTTTATACGAACCTTAAACTTTTTAATCAATAAGGTCATAAACTTTAAACCACAAACCATTGACACCGAAGATAATAATGTGCCATCTATCTCGATGCAATCTAAAATGCAAATCCTATTCTAGATTACATAGGAAGTCACGTTTTATAATCAACTATGTGTTCTATAAAAGGTTGTTAATTGAATTTTTGAATCATGTTTATTAAAAGCTTAGGTCTTAACCCCTGTCTGTATCGGCACTTAAGCCTATCACTTACATAAAGTGCCCAACCTATCATTCAACCATTAAGTCATTTTGTTTGTATTAAGCAATCCATCCAATGACTCAACTTCATTGACAAATGTGTATATATAAAACAAATATACAAATATAAATGACAAGAAACAAAATTACAAGTATAAATTAACTAACCCACTCCTATATCTAGCTATAAAACAAATTTACCCTAAAATTTCCTCATCAACCTCTTCCTTCAAAACTCTTAATAGTATCACTTTCTAAACCATGTGATTCACATGGTTCTTAGCCTTCGGTTGGTTGCCTCTATAACTTCTCAAACGTACACCGTTCCTATACCATGTACCACACGTAAGTACAATTAGCCAGCCTTGTACTGTGTTTGGCATACATTGGACTGAAACACAGCCAGGGACTCGCTCTCAATCTCTCATGTGTGCTAAAGACGAAAATACCCTCGTCATCCTGATAAAAAAAAAAGTAACCCTAAAAAGCTTGTCCAGTCCAGTCCAGTCCAGTGTTACAAATGCAGAACTAAGTCACTAACCTCTATCTTTGCATAACTATCGGTTTTCTCGTTTGAATCATGATCTGTCCTTGAAAAATCGGATTCTACAGAACTTTGGTCACTAAAATCATCTACATCGCTCAATCTTACATCATTTAAATCCATATCAAACGAGTTAACTGAGTCAACCAGGTTTTCGTTAAGTATAGATGTGGATGTAGGCGAACCAACTTCTGAAACCTCCACCTGCATATCAGAAGCAATGGAATTCATTGATGCGTAATGAATTTTTTTATTTCCCCCAAAAAAGAAACAATCGGTTTTTGACTTGTCAAACAGTGAAGATGGACCACAGTCGAATGTTTCTGCATGTCTATGAAAACTCTTTCCTTGTGAAAGTGAAAGTGAAACGCTTCTCATTCGTGACATACTCAAAGAATGCAAGATTGCTTCTTTGTTTGGTCTCATCATTCGTTGCTCATCTTCACTACATGAAGATGATGATGATGATGAAGTTGATGAGTCATCAATGGAGATTTTTTCATGTTCATGTTCATGTTCAATTTCCTTTTCTTTTGTGTTTTTTGAGTTTCTATTTGCTTCATCGGGATTGTCAACCACGTTTTCAGCTACTTTTGAATCATCTTGTTCAGGTTGTTTCTTGTCAACTTCCTTGTTTTCTAGAAAACAAAACTCATCATGATGAGTAACATTCTGCTTTTAATTTTTTTATAATTTTTTTTGAGAGGACTCACCTTCTTTTGCATGGTTATCATTGGTGCAATGATTAGGGTTTGAAACATCATCTCGTTTATCCTGTTTGTTGTCATCTTTCTTGTTTTCTTGAAAAAAGAAATATATTGTCAATTTGAGGGTCTTTCATGATAAATAATCAGATGGGATAAATTCAAGAAATAACAATGCACTTTCAGATATTTGTGTATATGAAACAAATAAATGAAAGTAAGTTGCTATTTCTTGTATTTAACCCTAATCAGAATGCTAGAACAAGAAGTGAAGAATTGTACCTACCAACTGTGGAAGTGACCAGTTTCCCAGAGGGTAACTGTTTGATGAAAAAATCAGTCTGAAAAGATGTTTTGTATTTATAATTTGTGAATTTTGGAGGTGCAAAACTGCCTAATCTAGAAGGCCCATGTCTCGAATCTTTATGATGTGTAGCTCTGAACTCATCTTCAAATGTATCTCCAGTGAGAATTGGCTTTTCTTCATGGGGATCATAAGGAAGGTCAAAAGGGTTGCTTTTCACCATGTAAGATGGAGCTGAAACAGGAGAAGCTGAATTATCTGAAAGAAATGGATTCTTTTTAGGGATATTGAGAGAAGAAAGTTGACCACAGCTTGTATTTCCTATTCCAGTTCTTCTAACTTGAAAGCTTGATAGCTTTTTTGATCTTCTTCTTTCCATTAGACTCTCTAATCTTTTGCTTCTTTCATCCTCTGAAATTCCAAGATCCATAAGACTCTTTTCAGCCTCATCAAGCCATCGAACAGTTTTGATTTTCTCTTTCTCCTCATGAACATCCAAACTTTCTTTTGTTTTATCTTTATCGTTATTATCAAAACTAGATTTTCTATACTCTTCATCGAACCTGTTATGATGCATCTCTTTTGGGTTCTTATCAACCAAATTTTTTGTTGAGAAAACAACGTCTTTGTTGTCCTTGGCACTCATATTGTTGTAAAGTTTGTTACTTGTCTCTTTGGCATTTTGTCGAACACTTGGTGGATCCTGCATGAAACTATTTTTGTTATGTTGTTTGCGAACATGAACACGATGCAATGACTTAAATCTCCTACGAGACTGCAATTCCTTCCATCTTTTACTTTTTGCTCCTACGCTTTTAACTTTTGAACGACGTTCCATACGTATAAATACTCTATGAACAAGAAATGCAAACCCAACTACAGGGGAGGAATATACTACGAAGTCTACGATGATGAAAACTGAAGGAAAAAACTTATATAACAAAACGTATGCGAAAAACATAAGACAATAATGAAATGTGTATTTTTTAACACAGCATGCACAATTTTCACCCAATTTTTTTACGGTTTTGATCACAAAAATTTGGATCTCATTCGCGCCCATACTAATTACATATGTATTTATTCAAATTTCGTTTCTTCCTACGTCCGATATCCAGCAGAATAAAATCTATAAACCGATTCGGAGCACACAAACGAACAGAATTAATGAAAGAATCGAAAATTTGATATAAAACCCATTGACGGAATCTAAAATAAACAAAAATGCATTGATGTTGGAGATGCATATCATGTATGAATTTCTTACTTTACCTAGAATCGGTTCTTGAAAGAATTGTCTGATTGAAAACTGCTGGAATATTTTTCATTTTGCGATTGCTAATGTGGGGCACGTTTTCTTTGGTTGTGAGCTTTGTTGGATCCTCAAATTCAGGAGTCCCGAAGTTTAGTCCCCCTCGTTGTCAAACACACAAATTTACACGTAATATCTTGGATATCTCCTTCTTCCATCTTCGTCTTCAATCCTTGCAAATGCCATAGTTTTAGTACATCCATAATCGAAGATCGGATACCCATGATTAGGGATCAGGGAGAAGGGTCACTCACTCACTGGTCGTGGGATATATTTTTAAAAACGGTCCGGCCCGGGAAAGAAGACGGTTGAGACGTACCAATTTTTTATTTTTTCTTTTTAATCCTAAATTTTTTTATTAAAAAAAGTTATATTTTTTATTTGATATTTTTTATAAGGTTTTTTTTTTCAGAAAAAATCCTTAATTTTTTTTGGAAAAATCTTTTAATTTTTTTTTTAAAACCCCAACATTTGGCAAACTCATGTTTTCCTGATTATAGACATTTTCAATATCAAAAATGATTTGATCGAAAAAAATCTTATTAAATTTTTTGAGGATTAATTTTTTCCATTATAGTCAAATTAGTCATAATAGAATCAACAATTCGTTAAACATTGTATTATTATAACAGACGTACAATTAACAAACATAAGATTGTGTAGACTGTAGACTAAATACTTTGAATTTTTTAATTTAAGTGTTGAATTTTATCCTAAACTATCAATTTCATATTATTTCAAAAGAAATACAATTGTTCTGTATTAGATTATAACATCTTTCATAACTAATATTTGTTTATCATAATCATTCTAAAATGTTAATCATCACATATCACAATAAACAGTCCTATTGGGTAAAAATTGGTTGCATGAGTAAAATCAATGAACTAAGGATTTGAGACAACTAAATTTTCTATAACAAGCTTTTTATATCAAATAGTTGAAGATACATAATGTAGATCTTATGAAATAAATAGATTGTTAACAAAAATAGTTACATGGTGGTACCATTCAAGGCCATTGGAAAGCATGTTTTTTTTTTCTTTTTTGAGTAATCAATATATTTTTATATTTTAACCTTAAATATATTTTAGTTTTAAATATTTATTATTTTTCTATTAATTAATTATTTCTATTAAATATTTAAAAACATTTCATTTATGAAATATAAACTTTATAACAATTTTAATATTTTTATGTTCTTTTATTTCCATAATTATAACATAATAACTTTCTTATTTTATATATATAAAATAAAAAAACTGTTTATATTTTGTATTAAAATATAATATGTGTTTAAAAACTACTAATAAAACGAGGAAGGTTTTATATAATATTTTAGATAAATAAAGATAAATTAGTTAAACTTATAAAATAATATAAATTAAAAACTATCGAAAATGATTAACCTTTGAATAGGTCATTTAGTTATAAAAATAATTATATGAAAATAATTTTAAGATATAGTATAAACCGGCATCAATGTTCCAACAATAATTGCTTTGAAATTGGTTTGTTTATCAAGTCAATGCATAGTAAAAGAAACTTACTACCCCAAGTTTGAATCCCTTCACAAGCGCTTTAGGTC